AAAAAACAATTACAGGAAGCATGGAATAAAGGACAAGATGGGATCCTTAGAGACTTCAGAGAGCTCTTACAAGAGAGAAAAAAAGAGGCAGAAGAAAAACATGCAAGGCTGATTATTCATAACAAAGAAGAAATGATCGAGGTAAATAAATGGATCTCCAAACTAATAGAACAGACCTCAAAAACCAGTCAGGACACTCTAAGTTTTTGCACAGGGTTAATAAGGAGAGACTTAATCCTAAAAATAGTAGATATGAAATGTCATGGAAAAAAAATAGTAATAACACAAGAAGATGGATATTAAAGATGCAAAGAAAAGTATGTAATCAAATAAGAAAAAAGATTTGAAACAAAAGATATGAGAAGATAATCGAATGTAAATATTCACAAGGAATCCACAGAGTAGAAAAAATCAATTGACCCTCAGGCACACACAGCTTAAAACCATTAGTTCCCAAAAATAAAGATTCTCTACCAGAGAAAAGAACTTAAAAAAATGAAAGCCTGAAAGAAATTCTACTCAAAGGTATTACTTATGGAAGGAAGTGGTTGGGTTTTAAGCTGGATCAGAACAAAGGATAGTGATCTGCAATGGTGACCTGTAGGCAATGATGTTAAAGGTTGGAAGAGTATCCATCTGAACCATTAATGAAGTGATAAATCACTTCCAAAATTGTTGATATATTAAGTCAAAACAGCAACAAGTGAATTAGGTAAAGTTTTAGCTTTAGCGAATTATTTAAAATGTACAGTATACAAATGTTTAATAAAGTACATGTACCTAGCCTGACCTAGGGTTTTAAAAAAAAAATAAAATAAAATATATTTTTATTAATTATATTTAATATACAATATTAAATAATAATAATAATAAATTATAAAAAAATTTTTTAAATAATAAAAAACTTTTTTAAAAAATAAATTATAATTTTTCTATTTCAATTTTGATCAAACAAGTTTTTTGAAAAAACTTTTTTATTTCAATTGAATAAACTTTTTTATAATATAATACTAATTCTATAAATATAATAAGTATATTTATATATTAATAGAAGAATAGATTTTAAAGATATCCATAAAATTTTTATACAAAAATAAATAAGTTTTTTGAATAATTCAAAACAAAAAAATTATTTTAATCAGATAAATTTTATTTAAAAGGATATATTAACCTAAATGATAATTTTTTAAAAAAATTTTAAACTGGTTTTTTTTTTCAGTATATTAATTTAGAAATTTATCATTTTTCAAAATAATATATAGTGACAAATCATTGACAATAATTCTAATAAATAATATCAATCTATCAGAAAAGTGAAATATTGTTTCCCAAATTTGATTTAGAGTATCTAGTTAATACTTTTATTTTGTTTAATCTAAACTAACTTAGCAAACTCCTTATATTTTTTAAAGTAGTGTAATCCTTTAACTAATAATATACAATAGTAAGTTAGTTGTTATATAAATAGTCAATGTAATATTGTAAATGTTTATTTAATGTCATAACAATGACCAGTTTTTTTCTTTAAACATCCTTTATTCGTCATTTATGAATCAAGTGTCATTAAGTTTTGCAAACTTGGAGATATATGCTTGGCTGTCCATATACAGTAGATTATAATGTACTAATCATTCACGTAGCTCAAATTGTGTCATTATGATGTTAATATCACAGTGTTTCTAAGGCATGCCTTCGAGTATATGAATGGCAGATTCACAAAAACCCGAATATCTTAATTGAATATGCCACAGGAACCGTAGATTATTGATAAATCACGTACGTATAGAAAACAAATAAATGCATACAGTACATGAATTCGGCATTTAATAATTGATTTAAATCTACATACTGTACGTCCATATAGCATGTAATAATAACTTACCTATATACGGTATATTTTATATATTGCTTTAGCGTTCGGCCTTTATGCGTTGCACCATACATTGATCCATGTTTTTTTAAAAAAATATCAATAAAAGTTATCTTTTGGAAATTATGAGTGGTTTCACTTAGAGAATTATTGGTCATTCAAATCTCATCATGTTCGTAGAGAGACTAAAATAGAAGGAACGCCTTTAGAATATGTCGAGATCTATGAAAGTTTTGTTCGCAAATATTTTCTTAGAAAAATAACGTCATCTGGAAAAATAATGGGTTTGGGCTGTCGGAACGAAAACTCAAGAAAATTTTCAGGTTAAGGAATCGCTTAATTCTTTCGGTCCCCATTTTTGAATAATACGTAAAATTTTAGGATCACTATCATAGGGTCCGAAAAATCCCTGTCCGCCTTCGAAAATAATTACCCATATGAGTAATAATTTTCAAAGACCCACTATTGTGATCCTAAAATGTTGCGTATTATTCAAAAATGGGGACCGAAAAGTCATATGTAGTATTTTGGTCATATATTAGAACTTTCAAAGGTGCCACGATCTAGCCAATCTAGTGAAAACATGTTAACTAAAATCTTACAATTCTAACAGAATGATTGAAAAAACAGAATTCAGAATTCGGATGCATTATTAAGCGATCAATTAATTAGAAGATTTACTGGCTGGGAGTTAATCCCTTGCATTAATAGTTGCAGGTTTTTCACTTACCAATTAAAATACAACTGGAATTTTCTGTGAAAATGGAATTGGAACCGTTCGGGGTTCTAACTAAGGAGGCATCTGGGTGGTTTCTGGCGTCAGCAGTGAATGGGAATACTTATGGGCAAAATATTTCTTGGGAATATTACGAAAACGGAATCGAAATAATGCGAAAGCATTTTATTGGTACCTAAAATCAACTGCAGGTGGGGATGTTACGGGGCAGAATAGCGAATATTGTTATCAAAATGGATTTGGAATCATTTGACTGATATTGGATAGGGTGAGGATACTTGTGTTCAAAATAGCCTTGGGGTTATTGAGTGGTACCTGAAATCGGTGAAAGTGGAAATATTTATGAACATATGTCATAAATTCACTTTTATATAATGTTTAAATTGATAATAATAACCAAATTTTAGAATTGAATTAATTATGTTTATTGTTTATTTGATTGTTTGAATTTATTTTAATAAATTTTTTTTTTTCGATTGATTTTTAAGAATAGTAAATTAATATTAATAATTGAATGTAATATCGTTATTTTTCTATTATAAAATCGTTTGTATTAGAAGGAAAAAAATAATAGCCGACGGGCGGGATTGAACCACCGACCTTCAGTTTACAAGACTGACGCTCTACCACTAAGCTACGCCGGCCAAGCTTTACTTCCTATCACTTGGCTTTTCGTGAGCACGTTTGAAGAGATGGTCGGCCTTAAACCCACAGTTAAGTTTTATTAAAAATCGAGAACCAGTCACCTCTAGCCAGATAACAAATCCCGTGAAGATTGGTTAATTACAATTTTTGCGAATGATTATTTATTGTCATTTGACCCCCAGGTACACTATCCGAAACAATTATCCCCGATGGTATTTAAAACTCACTTTACAGATGGCAAAGAGAAATTGAATGCGTGAAAAAAAAAGAAAAAAAGGTGAATTGTATGGTTAGAGTGTGGGTGATACTCTCTAAGAATGTTGTGTTATATACTTTTTTTAGAAATAAGGTAGAGTAAAAATTGTTAATTTCACAATAAATAAAATAAATAGTGTTTGCTAAACTGTATAAATTAAAATTACAAGTGGAAAGTATTTATATATATAATTTTTGTTCTATCGACATACTGCAGGTGTTAGCGTGACTCTGATCACACCATCCTCACTAATCGCACCGGGTTTCCCCAACGCATCTTTCTCCTCCGGTCGATAATGAACCGAGTCTGCTAGCGAAACGGCCAATGAGTTCAATGACGACCTTTCCGTGGAGTATTTTTCTATTGAAAGTCTTTCAACATCAAGGTTCGACTTCAACCCATCACCTCTTCCCTGGTTGTTATTACCAGATCCATTGGACTTACGACGTCCGTTGGTCGCGGGCGGTCCATCCGCGACCTTCTTCTTCTTGTCGACAACCGATGACGATGGGGCGGTGCTTGCAGATGAGGAGGTCGATGCCGCGGTAGAGCTCGTCATGATCAAATTCGTCAAGGCGCTCATTTTACCAGGTTTCGATTTTTTACCGGTTGATGGCTCTGAGCCAGCAATTAGAGCTTCAAACTGTTCCATCTTTCTCAGTTTCTCCGAATTTGGCGTGGCCTGATCCGTTTCATTCGTACGTCGGCCTTTAGTTAATCTGGGCAGTTGCGATTGTATTTTTGGGGTTCGTGATGGACTCAAAGGCGGTGATTGCAGTGGGGGATTGGCTATAGGCGGTGGTGGTGCCGATCGCGTAGGTATCAACGACGGAGGTTGTGATATGTACGTTGTCGGCGGTGATGGTACTGGTATATGTGAACTTCCTGAACTAGCGACCTGCTTGTTGAACAATCCTCCAAGGATCCCGAGTTTTTGTGTTCTGGGACTTGGGCTCGAAGGATGCGAATATGTATCATCACCGTTTTTCGACGGACGATCGGAATCTTCGGAGGTTGCGGGGGCCATTCTGGATGGAATTGATGAAGAGGCGCTGCTGCTCGACGATGGATATTGCAGGCGATTGTGTTCGGAGAACACCGTTGAACGTGACAAGTGGGCCGGGAAGGGTGGCGGCTCGCTGGATTGTAATAATGAGTTCTGACTGTTCTCGGGTTTTGAAGGTCTTCTCTCCGGCGGCGACGAAAGCAACGACAACGTGTTGTTACTCCTGGAACTGACCGGCGGAAAGTATTCAGGTTGATTTGTCACTTCGTTCGGTGATCGTCTCGGCGGTGGTTGGGGACCGTTCATATTTTCTTTCCTACGGTTCTCTTCTTCCACCTTTCTTAGTAGCTCCTGAGAACTTATGATTCTCGTCATCTCCAATCTCTTCACGGCATTATTCGCGCCCACCGCCTCCTCTTGATTACGGTCTGTAGTCACCTGTTCTGTAAGTTTCTTCTCTCTCTTCTCCCTTCTCCTCTCCCGTCGAGTCTCACGATCTTCAAGTTTAGCATTACTCCCCTTCTTCGTTTTTCTTCTTATCGGCGGTTTCAGGTGAGTTTGGGGTTTCACGCCATAAGCACCACCGCCAAACGAACTCATTATGCTCTCCTCCAGTAATTTTCGCCTAAAGTCAAGGGACGCGCGCCTATTCAAAGGCGCTAAGACGGAAGATCGCCTTCGCAAAGAATTAGCGCGAGTCAGACCGTTTTTATTGGAAAAGATGTTCGACAGTCTTCTGGAGTCTCGTTTAGGGTTTATGGTCGACAGTATTCTTGAGGTCCGATTGGGGTTGGTTGGAATAATCCGAGAGGCGCGATTGGGGTTCGTGGAAGCGGCACGTTGGGCGCGATTTGGAAGGGGTACCAGAGAGGCATGGAGTAACTTCGGTGGTTTCGGAGGGCCGGGTAACCAGGGGAGACCGGTCACTCGCCTCGGCATGGTGTCAGACTCCACGTCTGTGGGATCGTTGGAATGTGCAGGATTTGAGGTAGGAGCGAATTCCATATTTCGCGGTGGTGCCCTTTTCCTCAGGGTGCTGGTCCCGCGTTTTATGGACTTACCAGTTACGTTGTTGCTGCGAACAATCGATTGCGTTCTCACGAGAGACCTTTTGGCTATTAACCTGGGATCAATGAATGCCATTTCTTTCGGCACAATCGGCTGTTTACCCTTTGAAGAGTTAATCAGACTTATTCGGTTAATACTTTTTCCTTTCAATGGGGCTATTACTGAGGTACGCTTTTTTTGATTCTGCACAGAATCCGGAATGATCGATAACCTCTGCGTGGGTTCCTGTCGAATTTTAGAGGCGAGCCGACCGGGATTGACGACACGTGCTGCAGAGGTGACAGGGACAGGAGGTGAAGAGACGGGGTGACGCTTACGTTTTTGTTCGATCGTCACCGAACCAACAGACGAGTTTTCCGAAGAGATCGAAGGTTCAGGAAGTAGACTCAATTGTTGTTGCCGCTTTCTCTGTAGCAAATCACTTTTCGCAATCTGAGAGGGTTTCCTCGTCGCCTTTAATGAAGAATCGACATCCGAGTTATCGGTTGTGGGACTATGGAGAATCTCCACCACTTTAACGGTGGTCACGGTAATACCACCAAATGGAGATTGCGGTGAAGTACTGTCATCATGTTTTCCAGGCTCTCTGACGGAGGTATTGATGGTAATGGGATTGACCGGTTTTTTAGTAGAGGCGACGGATGATGTCGGGCGTCTCAAAGGTGATGATGGTGTCGACAGTTGTGGTGTACGAAGTTCTTGTTGATGAGTTAGAGGAACGGATTTTCGTGCTGATGGGGTAGATTGCACTGACTTTCGCGCAACCTGTGCGGAATCTCCCGAATAACCATTAGCATGTGAAGTGTGATCCTCAGGGTCCAGAAATTCATCATCGGTGCTATTATTTTCAGCAGAAGAAGAATTCCAATTTAGCTCATAGGTAGCAAATCTCTTCTCCGATGGTTTCCTCTTACGGGAGTAGACATAAGATGAGGTTGGTGATAAATCATGGTAGGTAGACTGATGAGAGGAGGAGGAATCGGTGGAGGGGACACGTCTTTTGATTTCTTCTGGTAATGCCATGTTTTGCTGTGTGCCTATTTCTCTTTGGCCAAAAATGGAACTCCACAGTTGCCTGATGTGTGAGTGTGGGTGCGCGACCACACTGTTTAAGGAGTGTAATGCTTGAAGGAGCCGCACAGCGACTATTTTTTTTAGAAACAAGGATGATACCGCGCGAAACCTCGGGGTTTCGTCGAATTCGTTTTAACAGCAGTTGGAGCTGTCGTGACGTAACCTATTGATCTTTAACCGACTGCCGAAGAGCGGTTAAAGGGTGCTAGGAGGTGGAGAGGAAAAGAATTAAAATTGTGAGTGGAAAGTGGGGCTACTTAATTTTTTTGGTGTCGAGAACGAGAATGATCGGGGATCAAGTAAAAAACTATTGAGCGTATGATAAGCAGAGTTACAGCAATTTTTAAAAAGTACGCATGATTCTGTTTAGCTCGCTCTGTATCTGAAGGACTATGACGGCCAAGGGTCACAATAAATCAAACAATGGTTGACCGGATGAATACAGAATTTGAGGGTCAGAACGAATTTTGCGGTCTTTTTTTTTTTGGTTTGTTTTTTTTTTCTCTTTTTTTTTAAAGAAAAAAAAGATATCGTCGGAAGGTAGTGATAAAATCAAAAAAATCGTAGCATTTGGAAATAGGAGAGTGCTTTTCCGGTCCCTATATAAAAATATTTAAAGACAGAGAAATAAAAAAAAGTTTGATGTATAGTACCTTTTTGGCCCTGGGTAAAGATGGTGAATAAAGGCGTAAGTTTCATGAGGACATCTCTCGTAAACAATTTATTTTCTCCAGGTGACACTAAAAACCGGGTTTAAACTAATTTTTAGATACCATTACCATAGCCGTTAAGCAACGTAGATTCGGTCTGATACTTTATGTGCGCACATACACAATCATATAATGCATACATAAAAAAAAAAAAAAGAATGGACACTTAGAGGTGAACTGTTGTTGTACGTTTTAATATTGGACGTCAGTTAAATTAAAAAATTTGTACATATTTTTTTTTAATGTACCTTCCATCCTACATTTGGTAAATCTGAAGCAGGGACGAATACTATAAAAGATGCACATTAATTCATTTAAATTTGTACATACATATATAGCGTATAAGTGCACAGTGTGCTCAAGTCCTTACGATAAAAGAAAACAAGGATAGATGACTTTCTATAGGCAAGAACGATTGAAAAAAAAAAAGATAATAAAATAATAAATTTAACGAACAATCGAACATCGAATATGTTCGTGAATGACCGCAGCACCTTGCATTGGACACTGTATACATCTTCCCATTTTTCAAGCGCCATTCAGCGATGGCCCTTGTTTGCTACATTTATCCAAATCATTTGGCCCAATTTTCCTTTCAAAGTTCTTCTCTTTTCTTTCATTAAAAAAAATAAAAAAAAAATCTATGAATAACAACGATCGGGCTTAATGGATTTCGCTCCTTTCTAAATGTGTTGGTCATTGTTTTTTTTTTTTTTTTTATCGCCGATGAGAATTCTACATGTTTCAGATGAAAAGAAAAAAAAAAAAAATTTCCGAAAATCATGCACATTAACATTAATAAATTATCCAATTGGTGATTGATTCTATTTTTCTTCTTTGGCCATTGTTTTTAGAGTGCTAGATCAATGAAGGACGATGAGGAATTGATTCATCCGGTAATCACATTGAATAAAAATTTCCGTTTAGATTCGAAAATCCTGGACAGTTGCAATTAGAATAAAATTTCGGGGCTCCACCAATTATTTTCAAGGTTAAGTCGTTTAGCACGTTTCCTCAAAATTATTCATTGGCAAGACCCACATTGTGTAAACTTTCTGACAGGAGAGTTTTCCTTAAAGAATTAGTGCGAATCCCTTGATGAAGATTGATCTGAAGAGATCGTAATAGCTTCTGATTGGTGTTATGAAGGAAGCGTCAGGCACGGATGAAATAAGAATGGTCTTTGAAGATACGAAGATTGACAAAAAATAGGGTTTTTGTTGGACAAGTCTGGCTATCGTACTCCCAATTTCGTTTGGTTGCTATGTCGATACGGATTAAGTGGGGTAAGTCGGTGATCAGCTAATAACGAAGAGTTATATTATTCTAGTAAAATTTCAACATGCGCATACGTACTGAAGCTTATTTCTTATAATTTCCGGTACAAACAGGAAATTTGAGTATTATGTAAATGTTAATATGTTTAATTATGATTTGTCCTACGAGATATACAGTATGTGTGCCATATCTCATTCATGTAACACATGCATTAGTGCAAGTTGACAAGTAACCAATTAGGGATCCGAAAATCCGAAATTTATTATAGGACACGTGGCTATCAGGGAAAGTCTTATTAATTGATTTGATAATACGGTAGAAGGTTTTTTGAGAAAAAAGCTTTCGTATATTGGACAACAGCATACACCGTGATCGTGAAGACTTCCACTTTGACATTTCTTTAACAGGCATTGGGTATTATAAATGTCTCGATTGGGGATAAGTCCACTGATTCCTGAATGCATGTTAAATTTTATTTTGCAACAGCATGCATAACAAGTCACCCAAACAAAAGAAAAAAAACAAAAAACAAAACAAAAACAAAAACATTAATCATTCAATATTAGCACAAGCATTGAATCACATACGTCGTGTCGAATTAAGTTGCTTGAATTATTGAAGACCAAATTTTGATTAAGTTAAATGAAAAGAGCGAGTTTTCATTCTCCACACTCCGGACCAGAATAAGCGGAATGGGTAGATAGGAGGAATCTAAAGAGATAATAGGTAAGACCAAATTCGCTTACAAACTATTGTTCGCAAATTGAGATGCCAATACATCTTGCAAATATCGGGCTATATAGAATTAAATGGGAGGTTTTTTTTTTTTTTTCTTTTTTTTTTTTTTTGACCTTTATAAGCAAGCTACGCAATACTGACAAATCGTTTTTTGACTGGCCAAGACACTAGGATAATACGTAAAACACTGCAAAGGTTCTGATAACTTTTATTTAAGAATATAATTTTCAAGGCACGAGTGGAAACTTGATCTTCTGATCGACAGCTATTCACCGTACACAAGTTGAACTTACACCTATTAATAGCCGAGATTATCTGCGCGTAGAAATTGTTCGAACAAGGGTCGAAGGTAAATAATCGAATTGCGCATGTGACATTTAATTCTTTGTCTTCCTTTGAGGTTACATTAAAATTGTAACATGTCACAGCATGACCTCAATATTATTAACACGTTAGGTGTTATGACCACACTCTTGATTTCGCGAATGGTATGGTTTCATTCTTCGACTTGTAATCAACTGTCGCATTCTCGCATTGATTTATTCGCTCTCTCCTTCTCTACCTACTACCAATCACGCTCACACCAGAATCCAGAAACGATTCTGACTTATTCAGCTCGTTCGCACCATACCCTGTCCGATTTGTAAGTTTTATTCCTTTACATTTCTTAAATCGCGTCTTTCAGACTGGACCTTTTGACATTGGGATGGTGAAAATACGCCCGAACCAATCGTCATTGCATAAAGAATACCAATTGAAACGGCCAGGTGACGAAAATATCAACGTACATTATTGTTTGTTGTTACTTAAGGTAGGGTTATTCATACACCTAGAAATCGAGCAAACGGTAATAGGAATTCACGTGAAGTTCATTTGTGAATGGAAAGATGAAAGAATTCATGATTACTGTATTTAGTCAAAAATAACTGTTGTAAATAGATGATTAAATAAACAAATACGGTAAATATAAATGTTCATGGTTTGGGATGTTTAGGGCAGATGCCGTTTATGATTCCTAAACACACCCGGTTTACTATAATTAGCACATACTCTTTGTCGAATACCGGACATACCTCTCGAAATAGAATTTGAGGTTGAGATTGCAGAAACTATTCTCCGATTCATATTTACCATTGCAAACCTTATATGTACTCTCTGACAAAAATGCTCCCGGAAGATCAATGAAAAAGGCTAAAGTCAAGCAATGCGTTTCACCGGATGATTGATTTCGGATGTTCTCCCTGTCGTAACTTTTATCAAACAGATGCACACAAAGAAAAAACCATGAGACTTTGTTTGACTGATAAATAATATGCAGCCCAGTTTGAACTTCTCTCTTTAAAATCTTTGTTAAAAAATACATATCACCCATAATAATGTGCTTGAATCACGTGAGATTTCTAAGTGTTGCATACACTTGGTTTCATATTGTCGTTTCTTGAGACGCTGATAATTAAAGAATACTAAAAAGAAGCGAAAGGTCTCAAAACAGGAAACAATCATGTTCTCATTTGCGTATAAACATCACACGTGATGGTTGGTTCGTGGGGTATGCACTTAATTTGCTCTTGCCTCAATCAACTTCAGCATCTAATAATTTACACCTTTCGTAATTTTCGCGCCCATAATCAAATCAACCAACCTCCTACTTCTATGCATATCCAAGAATGCACTCAAGCGCCGCAATGACCCAACCCCAGCGTGAAATGTGTTCCATATACCGCTACTTTTTTGAACCTACGACTTCCACACGTTCTGTTCGTGGCATTTAATATTTCTGTCTATATCACGTGAAGAATTCGTATTAAACACAGAAATAATTGTTTGAACATGAAAAAAACCGATAATTTAATATTACTTGAATGGATTCTATCTTTAAATTTCATGTTTTGATCGAAAGAAATATTTTGATGAATAAAAATTATTCTTAGACTTTTAAAGATCAAAATAAAGACTTTTTTAAAAAAAGTTAATATTTTAATAAAAGATATTTTGATATTTTTGATATATAAAGATGTTTTTCTATTTTTTTTATTATATGATATTTATGCAAAAAAGTTCTTGGATAACATAATTCTCATCACAGGTAATTGATTAATGTGGTGCATATTGTTTCTAGAATATAAATAAGCTTCTATTGATCACAATTATAATGTTATTGATAATAAGAAGGAAAAGTTTATGAAAAATTTTTCCTTTAACTAAACAAGTTCCTAAATATAA